GACCATGACGCTTTATCGCATCTTACATGCCAGGGTATGCGGGTGGTGCAGATTACTGAACCCATTCTTTGATTCATATGTTCAGGAAACCTGGAGAGTCAGCGGAAAACGATAACTGTTTTTGATCGCTTTCTTCCTCTTCATTCTTAGAAATTTTCAAGAAGCACTGTGTTATTTGTTTAAATATTTGATTTACTGAGGGATGGGGGAAGAACTGAAGGAAATGAGCGACAGAAGAAATTGTTTTTTCATAGATTGTCTACTCCACAGTTAAAACTTCTAAATTTTTAATAGTTTATTAGGGATTAAAGTTTAATAGTTTATTAGGGATTAAAATTTAATAGCCTTTCACGGTTTTTGTCTTTCTTCTGTGCCTGAAGGCCATAGCGATGATAACAGACAGTGTATCTTTATTTGTTATTAATGATTTTTGGCTATTTCCAAAATCTAATCCTTAAATTATCCCTAATTATTGGTTGATATATTGTATTTTTGCATGAAAGTTGTCAATATACAAATATCTTGAACTCTGAAATTTCGTTACTTCCACCGTTTTTGACAGTTGCACCTTATTTTCCTCAAAACTTAAGTGCATAGTAAAAATAAAGGAGTTCTATATTTGAGAAATACGGTAGCAAATCTCTGTACATCATTTATTTATTGTTTTCCCATATTTCTGGAAAATTCAATACCGTTCTGTGTACATTTTGATTCGATTTCACCGTCTGCTTGTTTCTTCGGTGAAAATTTCTGAGCCGTGTAAATTATATACAGTGTTAAGGCGTTCATGTTTATTTCTGGTTGCATCATTTTTGCGAATGAATTTCACTCAGCCCATGTTTTGTTGCGGTACCGCTGCTGTGTTAAACAACTCAGCGAAAGGCGTACGCCTTCGTTTCTCCTAAACTGCCAATTTCACATCTTTTTTTTAAAATAATTTCTCGATAATTGTGATTTCTACGGTTAGTTATTTTTGAATTGTCCTTTAATCCATTTGAGTTTTGGAAACACGAGCAATCGTCTCCTGTTCCTCATCTACACTTGTTAATTTTCGAATATAACTGAGGGAAGGAGGGGGGAAAGGATATAACTTCGGACGTATTACGCAGCACGCCTATTTCACTAGCCCTTTACAATTAAATTCAGACGTGGCGAATTAAGAAAAATTGCGAAGCACCGATTCTGTTCCAGTTTGCAACAATCTGGAAAG